AATGGTGTTGCATGTTTTCATCCATGTGCGTACTTAGGCAAATTTTGCAGGTACCTTAACTCCATACTGAGAGAGATCTCATCCAGTAAAATCATACCCATGTAAGGGAATGTTTATATATCTAATAAGAGGATATAAGCCTCTGACGTTTCTCAAAAGGTGATGCACTCTGTTCCAGAGTTATTGTCTGCCTTAGAATGATGGTCAGTACAAACTTCTCACAAGATCCTCCTCAGTGTGTACAGTCAGGATGGCATTGTCACCGTAAGAAAAGCTCTTAACCAGAGGTGTTGATGTGTCTGAGTAGTTGGTGACATTTCTGTGTGGTTGGCAGAATGTTTTCACAAATGTATGTGATGTTTCTTGTGTTTCATGTGCTAGTATGGCTCAGAGATGTTGATACAGTGTTTTCTGGGTTAGAAGTGTTTGCGCATATATTCTTACATACACTTATTCTTTACCTATGCCAATTGTTCTGTCAAAAAGACTGTTTTCAGCCGTATGATATCAGAACTGTACCTGGAAATGAAGAAATCCAAAAGGAGAAATTAATCTTGTTTTGTAGGAGTCTTTGCTTAAGATTTTTGATTTTCTGACTCAGAAAGCTCCCTGTGGGTTTTGAAATAGTCCAGGCTGGGGACACTGCAGAAAGCATATTTCTGCTATTCTTTGTTATAGAAAGCTTAATTCAATCTCTCCAGGAAAATCCAGAAACAATTTCCCTTGCCTACAAATGTGCCAAAAAATTGTATAAATTTGCAAATGATTGTTTTTTCCTTTTGGGGCATATCTTCACAGTAGATTGTCGGTTTTTGCAGAACCTTGTAAGTCTTCCCAAAGTACCCTACAGTGAAAAGAAGAGATAGTCATAAAGAAAAATAAAAATTAAAAAAATGATACCCCAGGAGCTTAGTCATCTGTTCAGCAGAAGAGCTTTATATGTTTTATTTACAATACATAACTCTTGCTTTAACAGACTCAGTCTCATCTGTGAAGAGATTTTCAGGGTTCAAGCTTCACACTTAAATGTCAGAAGAACTGAAACCAGATATACTCAATTTTCTTTTTTTTAAACATGATACAGTCTTATATTCTCCATACGTTTCTACTAGAGAGAAGGCAATAGTATTAAAGCTACCACACATCCAGTATAATCGCAGAATATAAGCTAAATTTGCCTTTTGTATTAAACAGAATTCTTTAGAATGAAGCTCAAACAAATGGTTGCAAATATGAAATGTTTTATCTTGAATAGGTAAATGCTCTCTTCTATTTTCAGTCTGCTGTCATACTTCTCTCAAAGTGTTTCAGGATGTTTTTAATTTCTGTTACAGCTTTATTTCATTGAGTGAGATTTGTAAATAGGCAAAGTCCTTGCACCACCTTGTCCTGTTTTGCTTTTTGTTTCCGTGTTTGCCTAGCTGTATTCATTTTCATCAATGTGATCACTTAATCTAGATATTTAAATTTCAAATTCTACTTGTGTACAAATTGCATTTTGGCAATATAATGGTAGTTGTGCATATATTAGCATGATTTACAAATTTCAGTTTTGGAAAAATAATTACCTGAAAGACGGCATGTGGAGAAGTTGCTTGAATGTTTGGCTGTCCATACAGTAGTTTTTCTAAAGGCGGGTGTCGTAAATGCAGTCATTCATCACCCTGAAGTCTGGGAAATTCAGAGGCCACCAGGTGAGTTTGCAAGTGTACTCTGTCATCCTTGAAAGTCAACAGAGGTGACCTAGTCCCCAGTGACTAGGGAAAAGCAAGTGCGGTACCCATCTTCAGGAAAGGCCAAAAATGCAACGTGGGGAACTAGAGACCAGTCAGCTTTACTGTGATCTGTGGGGAAAATTATGGACCAAAACATCTTGGAACACATTTTGAGACACATGGAGAGGAGAAATTGTCTGAAAATGCATTTTTGCCTCACTGAAATTTTTGCTTTGTCAGTTGAATTGCACCAAGTCTCCTGTCTTACTGTATTCAGGAAGTTTTTATATCTAAGTGCTGCATACTTTATGGATACATTAGTTATCCAGAAGTCAGAGGTAGGCGGTAACAGTAGGAGAGCAGTAGGAAGTAGCATTTTTATGATGCGTGTGATAATTTTATACTGATATGCAAGGTAATCCTTTTATTTTGCGTTGACTGCAGCTCTGTGCACAGACCAGAGCTGTTTTAATTTTCTTAGGTAAATCCTTTAAAATACAGAGACATGGAAGACAGATATTGTCATATAAAGATCTGATTTTAAAAAAACAGATTCAGCTAACAAACAAGGCAAAATACTATCAAATAAAATCAGATTTTTTTTAAAAAAAACACCTCTATTGCATCTTGAATGGAAGTGTGCTGAGGTTGCAGTGTCTGTTACAGTAGAAGATGTAATGTATTGCTACAGTCACTTATAGTGCCAGTACAGTAAATTAATAAAACTTCCAACCTGATGTAGCAAAAGCTAATATTTAGAACTGTCTAGTAACAGTTAAATTTTCCTGCTTATTTAATTAGTTTCTGTTGTTTGCTCTAGATTTAGTTGGGCAGTTACTCTCTACAACTCCTCCACAATCAAATAAAATCTTAATTACTTTCATTAAATGCTTAACTGTATTCCAGTATCCACTGTTAGGAAAATTAAAATTTGTTTTCAGCCATTTGCTGGTTATAGGCAGAGCCAATAACTTGTTAAAGTTACACAGTACATCCTATTTAAACCCTATTTTTGATGTATGAATTTACAATGTTACAACATTTTTTCAGAGATGGGTTATGCAAGAATGTCTCAGCATTAGTTTGCTCTTTTTCTTTTTTTTTAATTCCACTGGTAAAGACACCTGCAGGTTGTCCAGGGTAAAACCAGCTTCATCTGCAGTGGCACTTCTATTTTCTTTGAGAAAGCAGAAGGTAGCATAGATGACTGCTTTTAACCTCAGAGCTGATGGAAGCTCAGCCTGCATAAAATCAAGACGTTGGCCAAAGCACTCAAAAACATGATGGATTTGAGAGTTTTTGATTTATTATGCCTTTTTGTTATTCAAGTTCACAGTCTAAGTAAATCACAAATTTCTGCTAAACTCAGGGAGCTGCAGCTCCTTGTTTAGTTTGTGTGCTTTGTGAGCTAGAAATAAGATGTTTTCCAGTCACTTTTTTACTTTTGGTGACATCCAATATGGATTAGTCTTACTTTGCTCAGTAAACAATGTCTATGTAAGCTATGTAAAATTCAGACTTACATTCTGGAGATAATAGTGCTTTGCGTTTAGTTTCCAGACGAGGTACAAATACTTGCTGTTCAGAACATATCATTTTAGAACTTAGCAACCGAGCAGCTGTCTTGTCTTCATGCTTCACCTTGATGTTTCAGAACTTTGGTATGCTTTAACCAACAACGTACAGAAATAATCTTATTACAGAAATGATGAAGGGATTGACCAAGACTTAGATCTTCCTATGCCACATTGCATTAACGGGGTATCGTATGGCCTTCTTCAAAGAACCTATAGTCTAAGTGAGTAAAACCAGACGTGGACTTAGAAAGTGTTGCGAAGCACAGCAGAAGACAGGAGAAATGGCAAGCACAAGCGTCACTGACATGGCATTGTCTTGTTATGGGTGTAGTTGTTAGCAGTTCGGTTGAAGTTCAAAAGAAAGGGCTGGGGAGAAGGCTGAAGGAGTCCAGAGCCATGAGAGGAGTGGGTGCTGCTGGGGGTAAAAGTAAGTGGAGAAAAGCAGATGTGGAAGAGGGGGAAAGGCTGGAGGGAACAGTTGGTGCAAAACAGATACGATCCAGTCAACTCCAGACATTGTCAATATGCAAAGACCACTGGTTTGGTTGCTCTTTAAAGCTGTCCCTGCTGCCTGGCGCCTGTCCTATTCCTCCCCCAGCAGCATGCTGGGGAGGGGTAGTGTATCATTGGGGTTCACGTACCCCAAGGATGCGAGGGGCTCCCCAGCCATGTTTTGCACCCCATGGCCTCTGCCAGACCTTGTCTTCCTCTCCTTGCCAAGCATGGGAGGCCCCGATTTAGCTCCTTCTGCAACTCCTCCAAACATCTGGAGTTCATGCCTCCTTCAGAACAGCGGAACTAAAGTAGAAATCTAAGAATGAGGTGTGTTCAGACTACTGTTGTTGTCTTTTTATAAATTTTGATTAATATTTGTACATCTGTGTATCTTCAGGAAAATAATGTAAATAAAATTGAATGTTTAATGTATTATTTTATGCCATTCTGAAATAACTTTTAAAAAGCTTGTTAGAAGCTTTAAAATATTTCAGCTCTTTTAAGCTATCACGCTGGAGAAATCTCAATTTTGAAATGCGTGACTTGTGGAGGAGGGAGGAGGCATGATATTTAAATGATAGTGTATCCTTTCCCTTTTTGAAAGAATCAAAGAACAGTGCATTTTTAATGTTGATAATTCCCCATTAAAAACTTTAAATGCTCTTAAATGACTTCAGCTTGCTGAAGGACTGCCTTTTTCTTTCAGATGTGTTAGAATTCATATTAGCACTACTTTGCCCCTGTTTCTGAATTATTTTAATGACCCCAGCCGCTCCAGCAAGCTGTCTGTCAAGATGTGGGTGGCAGGCTATTATTTCACTTCATAAATCATAATTTACAGGGTTTTTTATATCCATCTTGGGGATAAACACTTGATGCTTTGTGTTTTCAGCAGCAATATAAAATGTAATTGATACTTAAAGCAATATGTTAGAAATATGGACACAGAGAGTGAGAAGAGAAAAATCGCAAATGTTTAGTTTTTCTGTGGGTTGGTCTACATACTGAGCATTTTTTCCATCTGATTTCATATTCTTAGCACTTCAACAGAGGATGATGATGAATTACATTTACATGTTTCCTGCCTGTAGGTTACTAGAAGGATGTTTCTTTAGTTACAGACACTCAACAGATCAGTTAGCTCAATAGGGTCATTTTGTACCATTTCTTGTGCTGCTAAATATACTTAACATTTTGTGCTGTTGTCTTCCAGATTCATGAAAAACTGCATTACTATGAAAAACAGAACCCAGTGCCCATACTCCATGGTGCAGCAGCCTTGGCAGATGATGTAAGTGTCCCCTGCTGAGATCACTGGTACCAAGTCTCCCAAAAAACTGTCTCCAAGCAGGAATCCTCGTAGTGCAATCACATGAATATAATCCTCTGAACTGAAATCACAAGAAGCTGCAAATGTTTCCAAAGGTGCTGTCATCACTGGGATTGTTGCTGATATTACTTTGATTTTTATTCACTTGCCTGTTACAAAAACATTGCATCTAGATAGCCTCTTGTTCTGGTTTAGTAACTACGTAATAGAAACTGCAGGTTGGAACTCTGCTGGGAGGGGAAAAGCTGTCAACTATTAGTGTTTTGAGAAAGTCACAGACAAGAGGAATGCTTTGGAAAAATCAAGACAAATGAGATAGCTGCACTGCTGACAGAACATGAAAAATGACAGATAATACTACAGAATTGAAGCATATTAAATGCCTAGGAACGAGACTTATTAAAAAAAAAAGAAAAACTATGTAAGAAAAAGTACAGTAGTGATTTATTGTTATTGGAGCTTTGCAAATTACCTTCATAACCAAAAAATAAATTGTAAAAGTGGTCGGCATTGATGGAGTAGCTAATTTCCTGTTACTATAATTTTTATTTTGAAGAAAAAAAATCCAGCCTGCCATTTCTTGCTGTTTGGTTAATTCTGGGATTCAGATGAATTGTGTACACACCTGTATAAACTATGACTGAACCTGAGGTAGGCCAGGATAGGGAAATGTGTAATAAACTGTGGTTTAGGTGAAATCCAGAAATCTTTGTTGCAATTGATGATCTCAGGTTGGTTTTTGGAAAAGGCAGTATGTATTAGGATCTGTTTCAAATATGACATGTTTGAAACTTCACATACTTTATAGATGTTTTAAAATATCAACTGTCTTTTTATATAATTAATAACTTCAGATTTTTAAATTTTACAAATGGTTAAATTTTGTGAATTGAGAATGGTAACATTTTAACAAAAAAGTAAATTGAAAATATTTTAAGACTGTTAAAAAAGGATATAATGTAATTTAATCGTGTTTCAGTGAGAGAGCTATATCCTGTAACATACCAAATATAATAATGCATTAGCTTTGACATCAGGCATATATTAGTAATATTTTTTTGACCTTCAAGTAGCTTTGAATAATGTTGATAGTAATTTTGAAAATTAGCAAGCTGGTTGAAATTCTCTTCATTAAGTTCTTGGTGACATATTAATAATCCTTGTTAACATTTGTGTTATGGATCTCTGAGCTAGAATTCTTAATAGGAATCGTTTCTTAGTTTTGGATGCAAAACTTAGTTCTTGATATTTTCAGAAATGCTGAGCAATCTCATTCTTTGTTCAGCCCCATTTAAAATGTATACTTTTGGAAATCCCCAAATTAAAGTATTCTGTCACTCCTCAGTTGAGAGCGATTGGGGTTTTTAACCCTATGAATGTATTATTATGTGTATATGGTGGTATTTTTAAAATGTAGATATGATGGCACACGAGCGTCTCTAGATATCTGCCTGCTTTTTAAGGACAGCTTCTTCTTAAAGGTCCTCTTGCTGGTTCTTCATTTTTGCTTATGTGTAGCGGAACAGCTGGTTTTATGAGGACCATCCCACAGAATGAGGATGTTCTTTGGCAGCTGAAGTCAAGCTAGTGTACTGCAGAATTTTCTGTGTTTCAGTAGTTACCAGCAAACTTTGAGGAAGTTAATTTACATGCAGGGGGGTTTTGTAACTCTAAAACCCATGGAGTTCCAGGATTAAAATGCTATTCAATTTTTGCCACATTTGTCTGACTAGTTGTCAGCTTTGGGGACTTAAGAACATGTTGATGATGTAAAACACACCTTTATTTCAATAAACTTTAAATTAATGTTTTGCTTTCCTAGTGATAGCAACTGTTCTATAACTAAACAAACAAGGATATTACAGAATCACAGAATGTTAAGGGTTGGAAGGGACCTCTGTGGGACTTCCTATTAGCAAGTGAATATTTCCTGTTTGATTTAAAACCCAAATTGAGGTGCTGCTAATGTAACTAAAAACAGTTTAAGGAGTGTGTTTTTATTCTTGTGTGGTTTTTTCCAAGCAATTTTAGAGGTAACAGTTGTGTTGAGGCTTTCCTGCAGACTTTGGCATAGGAGGTGATTGTCACCGCATAGGTGTGCCCAAAGTATTCCCTCTAGTTTTTACTGCTGTTGGTAGCCATCACAAAGCTTGGCACTTCAACAACAATAAATAAAAATCCAGTCCAAAACTGCTGGGAGCACAACAAGCAGTTCCGGTGGTCTCTGTTTGCTAATCTGGAAACATGGCTTTGTCTTCCTCCTGCTCTTCTGTCACAGGATGTTACTTGTGTCTTTAAGGCTTTTATGGAACTATTTGGGAAAACCTTGTAAATCATATGAGTGAAAACAAATTTTTAGTTATTTAATCTCAGAACAAATATTTTCTAAATCATGATATTTAAACATCTGTTAAAACAGTAACAAAATATTGTGTTACTCTGTTTTTATGTACCTGCATTTATATTTGCACCACCAGAGCAAATGCCAATTCTGCTGAAGTTGGTAGACGCTTGTGCACAATTCATCTGAGAAATGCTGAAGCAGTCATTCTTACTGAGTGATTACTAGTTTTCAGCAACGAAACACAAGTTACTAGATTTTACTCTCTAGTGAGAGGAGTAGTACAAGCTAAAGAATTAAAAGAGAACCAAGGGGAACCTGTGTCATACACCTGCTCTCGTTCCTGTCACAGGTTGTTTTCAGCTTTGCAGAGCTTTTCCATAGAACATGTAGACTAGATTGCAGTCAGATTACCTCAATACTTGGCTTTATGTGCCTAAGATATTTCATTCTAACCTTTCCTACAGAGATCATTTTGTAATCTTTTGATATTAAGACACAAATATTGTTAAGATTAGCATTGATGTATTTGATGGATGTTTTTATCTATGAATTATAGTTAGAAGGCTGTGGGACTGTAGGTGATGAATTTTTGTTTCAGTCCTATTACCCTTGTATTAATTAGAAGGTTAAAAAATGAGTATTCAAACCAAGTCTATAATTGCCAATTATATATAATTATGCAACATATACTTCTACCCATTTATCTTGAAAATTTATATAAAATGAAAGTACAAATTTAGAATTCGGGTAGACGAATAAAATTACTTGCTGCAAATAGCCAACTCTTCTTTGAGACATTTTTATGATACTGATTTAATGCAAAGAAAATAAGTGATTATCTGAAATCAGGTTTTGGATTATGAGCCATGTAGCTTCAGAATTTTAAACTAAAGTTCAGTGTTGTGAAATATGTTTTAGCTTTTCCTTCTTCTGGAAAAATAGTTTGAGTCTGAAATCCTGCAGTGAAATATGCCTCTTGAGTCCACATTAGTTGAGAATGTCGTGATAAGAAAAACTGGAGACATGAGCCAAATAGCAGTGGGATTAAACGTTAGACTGCTGCTCTGTTCAGCAAACCACAATTTTGTAGTATAACCATACAGAAATCACTGATCTTGTTGCTGGGACATAGTTTGTGCATTTTAGGGTCTTGAATTGCTGATGACCTGTTATAAACTATATTTTGATTAACCCACTTCACGTTTAACAAGCTCCTTCCAATGTATGTGTAAACATAATAAAAGGTTCAGATTGCTTGCACTGTAGGGGCACTTTGCTTTCTTATCCCGATCCTAAACAGCACAGCTACTGTGGGTTTTTGGAAGCAGCGTGGATTTCACCACCTCATTCGAAACTGTTTTTTATAGACAGTGTCAAAGTTTGATCCAGTTGTTTTTACAAGCAGTCCTTTGTTTGCATGCAAAGGACCATTCACTTCAATGAAGTGGTGGGATTTGCCCCCGTCGCTATAAACCAGAACGTGATCTGGCTGCACCCTTGCCAGAAATGATTACTTGTGTTAAACTGAGCCAAAAGTCCTGGCTTAAATCTGGTCCACCCAGGGCCAGAAAAAGAAGCGCAGTGATTGATGGTGTTTCTCTTCATGTTGGCTTCTGTTTGAACACGCTGGAAAGCAATAACCTTGAACAAGATCGATTCTGGATTGTCACTGATGCACTGGGTAAAACAATGCTTTGCTAATGGTCTTTGTGTCGATTCCATCTCCCCCCCAGCTGGCTGAGGAGCTGCAGAGCAAGCCGCTGAGCAGTGAGATCAGAGAACTGTTGAAACTCCTCTCAAAACCCAATCTCAAGGTGAGGAAGTGTTGCACCTGCGAAGTGCTTTCTACATGGGTGTCCGCATCTGCTTTCCCAGGCTGGGGGGGGGGGTTTGTCTGCTTTAACAAATATGCGTGCTTTTAAGAAGGGATGCAGTGTTGATAGGAAGTACCTGTTATGAAAAAATATGTTTAATGTTGCCCGTAAATTATTATGCTGTTACTGATATTTATAAAAGGAATTCAGTGGAAAGCTATCGTTCATTTACAATGGATATTCCAAAAAGTAGATGCTTGATTTTTTTTTGTCTTTTGCTAACTATTATTGCATGTGCTTCATAAATTTATTAAAAAATGTGCTTTTATTAAAAGGTTTTCAGTCATGCCATGGATTTAATTGCAGTATGCATAAGTAACACAACCCGGTACTGGGGACAAAATTCCTGATGGATATTATTTTAAAAAAATACAATTTTGAAAACTCCTGGGGTTCTGTGTGGTGCATTCAGGGAAACTTCATACCTTTTATCTGACAGTAGACTATGGAACTATTGAATCACTCAAGTTAGAAGGAAGTTGTCTAGTTCAACATGCTGCTCAAAGCAGGGTCGACACTGAATTCAGAACAGTTTGCTCAGGGCTTTCTCCCATCAGGTCCTGAAAAAGCCTCTGAACAGACATTCCACAAACACTGTGCAGCATCTGTGAATTCCTGATTATCCCCCTAGTAAAAACTGTTTCCTTATATCCAGTCAGAACCTCCCACATGTATTGTTGCTAATGCACACCATCACATTATGTTTTCACTCTTAAGAGAAGGAAGACCTTAATGCTCTAAATGCATATTGCAATGCTAATTCAGTGCAGCAGTTGATGAATTTAGAGGAAAACTGTAGAGTGGAAAGGAGCCCTATTTAAGACAGTTGCTTCTTTATACTCGCTGTAAAACACTGATCTCAAAACCTGAGACACTGTGATATCTTCAAAGTGCTACAGAATTTTAAAGACCGATTATGCCTCCTTTTTAAAGATTTTTGCACAGTTGGTTATTTCATAGTTTCCAAAGTGACAAGCTGCTTTTCCCTGAAGCGGTGAGCAATGCCAGTGGCTCATTACAAGAGGAACTGTTCGTGCATCAAATTGCAGAGATCCTAAGCTCCACTGTAGGTATTTCCTTAGTGACTGTCCACGTGCGTTTCATACTTCTGAAGCTTTAGTGGCTGGAGTCTGAGGATGACTCATTTGCCACAACTGCATCTC